CCATTGCCTGCGCTGGCGCGGCCGCCTCCGCCGCGGCCCCGCCGCGGCGGAAGCCGTGAAGCAGGCTCTCCGGGAAGCCGTCCGAGGCCGCCGCCGGGCAGCCCGGGTGCACGACGCAGCGCAGAACTGCACCTGAGCCATTGGCACGCAGAGGCTCACCTTGCATACACATTGTCCTGTCTCCCTCTAGCTCCGTTCGCCTTTCTGCTTGCAGGACAACCGCAGTTTTTTTGGTAATGATTTCCTCCCCTTCCTCCTCTTCCTCCCCTTTTCCTCCTCGCTCCTCTTCTTTGCCGTGGCACGCGAATGGTTTGGCGTCCTGGCACGGCAGAGGAATGGCCTCGCGCCCCGCGGGCACCACCCCGCCGCGGGACGCTTCACGTTGGCGAGCGTTCGCCTCCCCCCCCTTCCTCGTCGTCCTCGTCGTCCTCGCTTCCCTCCTCCTCCTCCTCCTCCTCCTCCTCCTCCTCCTCCTCCTCCTCGTCCTCGTCCTACCCCTCCCCGTGGCACGCGATTCAGTCGAGGCCAGCAGGCCTGCAGCTGTAGCTGCCCCGGCCGCGTGGCCGATGGGTCGTGGGAGGGCGTCTGCTTTTAATTCGGCCGGAGTCGCAAGCGCGAGGTTTCTCCCCCACGCAGGGTGGGCGCCGGCGCGTCGCCCAATTTGGGGGGTGCCGGCCCGTCGATATATTCCAGGGCCGAAGACGCTCGCAATAAACAGCTTTCGCGGAACGATTATCTTCCCCTCCGTCCTCCCCTCCCTCGCCCTCCGCACCGCCATGGGAAGTCGCGATGAGGCCGCGCACCGAGTCCGTGACAGGAGATTCGCGGTGCGGAGGGCACTCGGCTTTGTACTGGCCGCGGGGCCGATAGATCGTGTGCACAGCAGTTCCCCCTCCTCCCTCCCTTTCCCCCATCCGCGTCCTCCTCTCCCCCATCCATCCCCGAACTGGTGCTTTCGATGCTACTATCTGCACGGGAATCTCGCGGTGGTGCTTGCGGTCGTTGCTGGCCGACACTGGGTCGCTTTCGCCGCCCAGGCTTGCTCTTGTGAGGCGTTGCGGAGCAGCGTCGCGCCTGCCGGGCACCACAGCGCCCGCGTCCAATTTCAGTTTATATAGTTGGCGAGTGTGTGCACCCAGCATTTGATTCCCTTTTTCGCGCGTTGTTTCTGGAATTCGGAGTATATTCCAGTCTTCTGCCATGCGCTGTGCTTTGGGGCGGCTTATTGATTGGTGTGGTGTGATGCCCGGTTATATGACTTGTTGTTCGGACTATTGGGGAATTCACTCACGACGCTTTAAAAACTTCCTTCCCCCCTCCTCCCTTCCCTTCTTCCCCGCTCCTCCTCCCCTTTTCCTATCCCTGTGGCTGTCATTGCTCATTTGGAACGGGGGATTCCTGAACATGGCCCACTGTCGGTGTTGTCGCGTATCACCTCTGTTTTGGTGGTGGTGTTTCCGTGGGGTTGCCCGGATACCCCTTTGGAGGACTTGCGATTTCTATGTCCATATCTTTCTACCTGCCATTTGTCACTTTTTCGATTTCTGCCGCCATGGAGCCTCGCAGCCGTACGTTGTGTGTTGTGATAGCCCCCGCTGAGGGGAAGTGAATTGAATGCGGTATCGGAGCAAGGGCGGAGACGGGTGTGTGTTTGCTGAACCAAAAAACCGTTGCAGCAATGCCCACTGTGTAGCGCACAAGTATGTTCGTAGTTCGATCGCCACGTGCGCGCAGTGTGCGCATGCATGCGCTCGTGGTATGTAGACGCGCGTGGCGCGGTTTGATTGTCGTGGCGCCCACGCAGGCGCGGCGGCACATTTGGCATTGGAAGAAAAGGGCAGGGTGGTGCACGCAGGTCACGCGGCGACTACGGCGGCAGCCGCGGTGCACACAGGCGTTTTGGTGCCAATATTGTGGTACACGCAGGTATTGCTGTGCGCGCAGGCAACGGGGTAGGCCCCCTACCCGCGGCCAGAAATATAAAAAGTCACAAGCCGTTTGCATATCGAATATGATGCGTTCGAACCGACCATGGTTTGTTGGAATTTGACGCCGCCGGGCACCTGGAGGCGCACACGGGGTTTGTGATGTAAGCCAGCATTGCGATGTACATGCTTTCGGCGTTTACAAGCGCGTACAAGAGAGAAACCAACGCAGGCAACCCAACAATTGGAGGAGGAAGAGGGGAAGGGGGAAGGGCAGGAGGAGGAGGAGGAACAAGAAAACAGGCTCTGCGTCCACGAGCGCATTTTGGTGTTCGCAGGCGGTGTGGTGCACACAGGTACTGTGGTGTGCACGGGCGGTGTGGTGTACACAACCGCTGTCGTGTACGCTGGCACTTGGGTGTGCACGTGGCTGTCGTCGTCGTCGTCGTCGTCGTCGTCATTGTCGTCGTCAGCCTTTTTCGTCGTCGCCGTCGTGTCCGAGGTTTTCAGATAGCGCGCAAATGCTCCCAGAAGCTTTCTGCTGAGGCTTTTGGAGAGCTGTGGGCTACTCAACCGTCGTCGTCGCTGTTGGCGCAGCGATGGTGTGAAGAAGGTGTTGTGGTATGGCGCGTTTGCAATTGACTACGCAGGCCCTGTGGATTACATGAGCACCGCCATACGCCATGCGTTGTGGTGTGCTGGCCAGCCTGCCGCCCTCCACGAGCGCGTGAGCCCCAGACCGTCGCCCACAGTTGGCAGAGCCAGCACACCGCCCAGTGGCGAGGAGGGCGACGGGGAAGGATGATATGAAGGAGGGGGAGGAGGAGGAGGAGGAGGAGGAGGAGGAGGAGGAGGAAGAAGAAGAAGAAGAGGATACCCGAGGAGGAGGGTAGGAGGATTGTGTAACATCTACGTCTACATGGCCCCTCTCGAGGAGACTCTTTTGACGGCCTCAGTCAGACTCATCTCCGTTCGGAGAGTCCTGAGGCCGAACGAGGGGCTGCTCGTCATCCTCCCTCCTGAGCGCCTCGATCACCCTGAGTTTCTCCCTGAGAGAGTCCGTCTCGCGAAGGGAGGAGGCAGAAGAGGAGGACAGAGCCGCACACTCGGCAGGCCGAGACGATGCTTCGCTCCCACCCCCCGCACTCCCACTCGCCAAACCCCCCACAAACGGCGCGGCAGCGAGACCAGGAGCGGCACACCCCGTCGGCACGGCTGAGCCAGCAGACCAGGGAGAGAGGATACATTGGACATTCTTCAACCTCTTCTTTTCATGCGGATGACGCCCCGCACAGACATATTTCCAGTCTCAGGAGGAGGAAGAGGAAGAGGAAGAGGAGTAGGAGGAGGAGGAGGAGGAGGAGCAGGAGGAAGAGGGTGAGCTAGGAGCGAAGAGCGAGGAGGAAGGAGCGAGGAGCGAGCAATGAGGAGCGAGGAGGAGGAGGAGGAGGAGGAAGTGAAAGGGGACGAAGAGGAGGAGGAAGAGCAGGAGAAGTAGCAGGAGGAGGAGGAGGAGGACGACGATGGGGCGGAGAATGATGAGGAGGGAGGAAGAGGAGGAGGAAGCGCAGGAGGAGGATGAGGAACAGCATAAGCAGGTGCAGGATCAGGAATATGCTGATGCTGATGCAGATGGTGATGTTGAGGTTGATGCTGATGCTGATGCTGATGATGATGCTGATGGTGATGATGATGATGATGATGACGATGACGATGCTGACGATTTTGATGATGATGCTGATGATGCTGATGATGATGGTGATGGTGATGATGATGGTGGTGGTGATGATAATGATGATGATGCTGCTGATGATGATGGCGGCGCCGACGACGACGACGATGATGCTGATTATGATGCTGCTGATGATGATGATGGTGATGATGATGATGATGATGATGAAGAGGAGGATGAGGAAGGGGAGGAGGAAGAGGAGAAGGAGGTGGAGGGAGAGGAGGTAATAATTCTACGAGTGATACTTATCATCATCATCAGCATCATCATCATCATCAGCACCATCATCATCATCATCATCATCATCATCATCATCACCATCATCATCATCATCATCATCATCATCATCATCATCATATAAAGAAATAATAAGAGTAAGAAGAAGACGAATGCTAGGAAGCAGAAAACGAATAATAGTAATACTACACGGTATAATAATACGAAGAAGATGAGGAGGAGGAGCCAGGAGGAGCGTGGAGGAGCGATGGATGCGCCCGCGCGGCGGGTACGCCGGCGGCAGTGGCAGCGGTGGCGGCATCACCGCGAACTTTGCGCGCCCGGCAGTTGGCACGAGCAGCAGCGCGCGGAGGAACGCGCGCGAATTTTCTTGCGCCGCTACTGTGCTGGATGGGGCACGCGCAGATTCCACCGCACCAGGAGGATGATTCGTGATCAGTGAGCGTTGAGCTGGAGTGGAGGAGCTACAGGTGAGGAGGGGGGGGGGAAGACGAGGAGAGGAAGAGGGGGAGGAGGAGGAGGAGGAGGGAGTGGCCGAGGACGAGGCCGAAGAGGACGAGGAGAAGGAGGAGGCCGAGGCGAAAGACGAGGAGGAGCTGGAGGAGGAGGAGCAGGAGGAAGTTGTGGGCCATCAACCTGCAGACCACGGGCGCGGGCAGAGTCGCAGAAGGATGGGAAAGGGTTCGCAGGACGAACTGCATGTGAGGAAGAGGAGGATGGGGAGGAGGAGGAGGAGGAGGAGGAGGAGGAGGGGAGCGGGAGGAGAAGGGGGAGAAGGCGGAGGAAGAGGAGGAGGAGGAGGAGGTGGATTAGGATGATGATGATGAGGAGGAGGAGGAGGTGGAGAAAGAGGAGGGGAAGAGGAGTATTATGAGGAGGAATAGGAGGCGGAGGAGGAGGAGGGGAAGGAGGAGGAGGAGGGGAGGAGAGGAGGAGGAGCAGGAGGAGGAGGAGGAGGAGGAGGAGGAGGAGGAGGAGGAGGAGGGGGAAGGAGGAGGAGGAGGAGGAGGAGGAGGAGGAGGCGAGGATGACGAGAATGATGAGCAGTCGCGGGGGAGGAGCAGCAGCCGCAGCAGAAGCAGCTCGCGCCGGCGGCCGCCGCCGAG